TAATTAGAGTCAGTGAGCAGAGGAATATCCTACATGAAATAAGAAAACGGAAGGCTAATTGGATTGGTCATGTTTTACGCAGAAACTGCCTTCTAAAAGAAGCTATCGAAGGAAAGATAGATGGGCGGATAGAAGTGACAAGAAGACGAGGAAGAAGACGTAAGAAGATGCTGGATGACCTTGGGGACAGAAGAGGATACTGTCATTTGAAGGAGAAAGCTCTAGATCGCATTAAGTGGAGGAATTGTTTTGAAAGAGACTGTGGACCTGTCGTCTTGACAGATTACTGATGATGATGATGATGAGTGGGGGGCGGAGTACAGCTGAGTCCACTCGGCGCGTCGGCCACTGATTGGCCTATTTTACCTGCCCCGGGTGATTATGATGATGGAGATTTTTTTTTCCTTGGCACTAAAGCCCCAGTGGGCCTAGGCCTACCTCCATGAACTTCTCCGTTCACATCGGTTTTTCTAGATCTTAGACATACGGCAGGACTCCTTGGGCGAGTGGTCAGCTCGTCGCAAGGCCTCTACCTGTACACAAACATCCATGCCCTGAGTGGGATTCGAACCCACGATCCCGGCTTCCGAGCGAGCGAAGACAGTGCACGCCTTAGACTACTCGGATACCGTGACCGGCTGGATGGAGAATTTGGAGGAATGAAGTTTGGCAGGGTAAACGGAGAAAACCCGCCCCAGTCCCACTTTGTCCACCACAAATCCCACTTGACCGGGCTCTAACCCGGGCCGCCGAGGTGGGAAGTCAGCGACTAGCCGCTTGAGCTATGGCACAGCCATTTAAGTAATTAAAATATGTAAATATATATATGTGTATTGTGTAAGCCTATAGGCCTATGGGTATGGAAATTGTTTTCTTGAATTTATAATTAAAGTCGACCGACTACTCGAACACTTGAGTTTCTTGGAAGTAAAATTACTGGGCCTACACAAGTATTCTTAGTTTCATCATAGGCTTAACATTTTATAACACTATATAACTGAAATAAATTGACCAGGCTTAAAAGACTCACTAATGTTTGGATTCCGCGTATGGGATTGGAGTTAGCTCTGTAGCATTTAGTCTAAGTTGTTTTATGGAAATATTTAGCTCGATTCCCGACTGGGACCAGTTATCCTGATTGAGGTCTTCCAGTCAAATTTCTGGATGGTATATTTAAACGGGTTTCTATCGATACCTCAGAGCATTACTTATATAATAATCACTCACAAAAATGCGTTATATAGGAACAAATACTTTTTGTTCTTTCCCCTTGCTCCCACTTTGGAGCATAGGGCTGATTTCTGTTTATGATCATTTTTACAAACGGTAGGACCCCTTGAACGGGTGATCAGCTCATCGAAAGGTCTCTACCTAAACACAGGACAACACAAACACAAAATAAATGTATACACACCAAACAGCCATGCCTTGTGGGTGGTTCGAACTCACGATCCCAGCTTGTGAGCGAGCGAAGACAGTTCATGCCTCAGACCGCTCGGCTACAGTGACCGGCTAGAGACAAATATAGACTGGATAAATTAAAGTATGCAATGAAAGTCATCCTTGCCTCTAGATATAACATGCCCGTTCCCGTTGCCCAATGGATGGGAGGCTGGATAGGAAAGAGATTCCCGTTGCCCAATGGATGGGAGGCTGGATGGGAAAAAGGGCTGGGCTGGCCTGGACGTTGTGGAGATCACGAAAATTTTACCCGTGTCAAGATCGAACCCCGGTCGTCCAGCCGACTGAGCTATCCTGGCTTATTATATGATTTTTTTATTGCTAGTGGGGTGGGACTAAGTCCCTTGTACTGCGGCCACTTCTGGCCTATTGTACCAGCCCCAGATGATATGTGAGGGTGATTGTGGAGCAATTGGTGGAATGAAGATTGGCAGGGGAAACCGAAGTACTCGGAGAAAACCTGCCCCAGCGCCACTTTATCCACCACAAATCCCACTTGACAAGACCCGGGATCGAACCCGGGACGCAGCGGTGAGAAGCCAGCGACTAACCGCTTGAGCTATGGCGCGGCCTATTATATGATAAGTTTCAACATGAAGAGCAAATAATTGAAATCAGTAAAGTAATGCATGGGTCCCTGTAAAATGGTAAGTTGGTTAGCCACTGTCAAAGCCAGCCTTTAGTACGTGAGTTTTCGCAGTTACCATAAATGACCCGCATACTGGGTTGGAAGTTTGCAACAAGGTTACGTGGATATATATTCCAACATGTGAACTCCTTCCTGCTCAGTGGATAATGTTATTTGTCATTAAAATGGGTCATGGTTGTGGGTTGTGGCAATGCGTTGCAAGGCAGGCCTACTGCTCTTCGGTGCACGTCACGACCGCATGCAAGTATCATGGCAACTTAAAAATCAACTGCACGTGTTTAAAATTAGTTTCCCTTTTTAGGTTAACATGCTCTACCCTTTGTTACGCATTTACATGGATCACATTAACAAGCAGAGCACAGAGAGAGCGTGTTTTTATTCTGTTTGCTGCTAAGTTGCATGGCTTACACTTCGAAACTGAAGATGGAGGCACTACATTCCTCCGAAGTCAGTGAAATATCGTAGTACACGGCGCCACATCCAGCAAGGCAGGACTCTTTATAGTCAATTTCTTTGCTCTTTCCCTGTACTTAACTAATTAAGCACTAAGCCATGAAGGCGTATGGGAGAGTGAACGTGTAGATCCATATTTTCATGATCGCGGCACTACTTGGAGGTAAGTGGCCAGTTTAACGCCCCGGCAACTTTACCCCTGCGGAAAGAGTCCCCGGTACCCACTGGATATGAGGCTGGGTGGGCCCCAGTGCAGGTCTGGACGACGTTAAGAAAAATTCTTGAAATTACCAAGACTTGAACCTCGACCCCTCGGTCGTCCAGCCAGTAGTCAGTCGCTATCCCGTCTTCCCTTCATAGTCAATGCCGTAAGTTATTCAATTCTCATAGAAACCTAATAATTGGTTTGAAATTAAATTTTAATTTGTAGCTTCATTTGAAGCTGTATGAGTTTGTCAGAGGACGGGGATAGGAAATTATTTTTACCAGGTGGCAAAACGTATCTATTTCGAAGTGACTGGGGGAAAAATTATGTAGTTCATAAATTGTTAAATAGCTATAAGTTAATCGCACTGACTAGAATAGACTCGTACAATAACTGCATAATAATTGCAAAAATAATTTGTTAAGCTAGGATTCACTCACGTGTGGTTGATCATCTGAGGGCAATATGACAAACAGAATCTAGAATGAAGCCCATTCAAATCCCTCATATGAAATGCAGGCATGTCATAAGGAAATAACAGGCTTAGGTACTGTGTAGTAGGGATCCCAAAACTCGAATTTATATCACTCTCCTCATTCTTACCTATTTCCCCGTAAGTTATTTAACAATGTTTTCATTACTGATATCGTATAACACTTGAAGACAAGATAATGAATGAATGATGAATTCGAAAGGATTCGAAGGGAATCGGCCATGGTTTAATCAAGGTAATATCCTGGCATTTTCCTGGAGGAACTGACGAAAAAAAAAACAGTACTATCTTCTGGGATATAACGCCGTATAGTCCGTTGAAAGTCAACCAAAGTTTCGGAGAAAAATATCGCCTCCATATTCGGGGTCGTCGGCTTGCCACCTGCTTTCACGCTATTATCTTTCTCGGCTTATTCTAATCGAAAATGGAGGTGATGAGTTCTTCCGAAATATCTATCGACTTTCAATGGAGTACCACGACGTTATATCTCAGAACATAGTACTCTTCATAAAAACCTGTGTGAGAATCTAAAATCCTATAAGAAAACCTCAGTTAGAATCCCAGCCAATATTCGAAGTCATCTGCTACCAAATACAAACCAAGACAGTTAGCTCTAGGCAAAAATGCTTTCTCTGCATTATGTATGGAAAATTACACAGTAATAAGCTATCGCTATAAGAGGCCATGGAGGCCCATAGTGTTGTGAGACGTCGAGGCTCCCACATTATCTAGAAAATCGTCTCACAGACGGCGATAAGGTTGTCAGCCTTACGCTCCGGCCGGCCTTTAATCCCCAGGAAGATTCCTGGTACTCATTTCTGTTAGATGCTGAGTCAACGCCAGAGCCATAATGCGGCTGGAAGGATTTCATCAATTGAAAAAAAAAATACACCTCATCGGGACTCGAGCCCTCAACCTTCCGGCTTGTAGCACAGTGCTTCAACCAACTAAGCTACCGCGTGCCACCATACAGTAATATAAACGACATATTATTAATAATGGCTGTGTTATTACCACCACGGACCACAGTTCGTCAAATCCTGTGACACGGCCAGAAAATATATGAGGAGTAAATTTCCTAATTAGTCGGTCACGGTAGCCGAGTGGTCTAAGGTATGTATTGTCTCCGCTTGCTCGGAAGCCGGGATCGTGGGTTCGAATCCCACTCAGGGCATGGATGTTTGTGTGCGTTTTTCTCTATTTGTCTACAGGTAGAGGCCTCGCGACGAGCTGACCACTCGCCCAAGGAGTCCTACCGTATGTGTAAGATCTAGAAAAACCGAAGTGAACGGAAGTTCATGGAGGCAGGCCTAGGCCCACTGGGGCTGTAGTGCCAAGGAAAAAAAAAATCCTAATTGGCCGGTCACGGTAGCCGAGCGGCCTAAGGCATGTACTGTCTTCGCTTGCTCGGAAGCGGGGATCGTGGGTTCGAATCCCACTCAGGGCATGGATGTTTATGTGCGTTTTTCTGTGTTTGTGTACAGGTAGAGGCCTTGCGACGAGCTGATCACCCGCCCAGGAGTCCAACCGTATGTCTAAGATCTAGTAAAACCGAAGTGAAACGGAGGGTTTCATGGAGGTAGGCCTAGGCCCAAATGAGGGCTATAGCGCCAATGGAAAAAAAAAAATTCCTAATTACACATTCGCCCCCCCCCCGTTCACAATTATATTTATACAGTTGCATTACTGTGTACCTGACAGTGATCACTGACATGCAATTCTCTGTTCCAATCCCACAGTTCTGTCGTCTGGCGAAGGGGGAGGTGGATCCAAAAATACTTCACAGCCAGAAGACTTCTTGGAAAAGTGTGGCTCCAGCTTCTGTATGGTAACGAGCACAGGAAACGACAACTTGGAGCGGCCACCGGATTCAGAGATCTATGAGATCAGCAGCATCTATCTGTGTTGCGTCCTGGTGGCAACCGGCGTGGTCGCCCTCTTTGTGGACCCCCTGTCCAGGTTAGATCGACTCTTCTCAGCATAGCAGCAAGGTCTGACAATAAAGTTCGAGAAATCGCCACTGTCTTCTTTCCGTAGCAGCAGTGGACAGAAACCCCAGGATAGTTTGACAACGATGGCATATCAGTCTTTCACAGCTGTGCTGTTGTTGATCTATGGCAGTCTCTTTCTGAGTGGCGACTATTATTGTCTGAGTGTGTTTTGGTGGTTCGTCACGAGAATGTCCGAGCTTGAATTAGAGCACTGTCTGTGAGGGAGTTTTTACCTAGTAAACAAATAACTGTGCTGGAACACCCTCCCTATTCAACGGATCTAGCCCCCAGTGACTTTTTTCGGTTCCCGAAGATAAAGCAAATATTGAAAGGAAGGCATTTTGATGACATCAGGAGATCTGAAGGCAATTCCACAAAACCAGTTCCAAAATCGTTTTGAAACGTGGACCAGGAGCTGGAATTGGTGCATAGCTTCCAAAGGGGAGTACTTTGAAGGCGATCATAGTGACATTCAGCAATGAGTTGTGTAGCGCGTTTACCGCGATGAGTTCGCGAACTTTATTGTCAGACCACGTATGTGTTGCACCATGAAACGTCACAACCGCAAATCTTTGAATCATTCTGGATTATACTGAGTTCTACCCCCTGAATAATTATATTAAATTATATGTAAGATTTCCTGATTGTGTCTAAATGTTCATAAGATAGAAAAATTCTTCTATGAACAGGATGGAGAAAATTGCATGGTGATGAACTTCACTGCACTCTTCACCAAAGAGTGTCTGTACGATATTAGGGTGATCAATTAAAGAGGATGAGAAGCCGGGTCACTAGAACGAGCGGTAGATATGAGGAATTGGCACAAGACTTCATTCGGAAAATAACATGAAAGAAAAGAACCACTTGGGAGACCTGGTGGAAGATGGAAGACTATTATTAAGATGGATCATGATGAGATGATATGGGCTTGATGAAATCGGCTGAGTCCAGGTCTTGCGATCATAGTAGTGAATTTTCTAATTCAATAAAAATCTAGGAGTTTCTTGATTGGTTAGAAGACTACAAAATTATCAAGACGGACTCCTTTCCTTGGCGGTGATTACTGAGTTACTTAGCTCCTTAAATGAGTTCTCTATAGCCGCGCAACTATTTGAAATGTATAACCTAAACGCCGTCTGCCAGCACGTAACATGCAAGTGCGCATTCTCCTGGTTTGTTGCTGTCGGTCCTCAAACAAAGCAAGGAGAACTCAAACATATGTATTTATGAGATGGTCAGAAGGATAGAGGTGTCTGAACACAGGATTACATTTCTTAAATTAAAACTCTGTTACAAATGTACTTGAAGACTAGACGATAGATTCGTGTTCCTTCATAGAGATTAAAGGGATTAATTCGGCCGAAGCGTTGAGCATCCATTTTCATTGAATACTGAGACTATGAACTCGTTACCAGACATCTGACCACAGGGTAGTGCTAGACTAACTCCATGGAGCTGATCTGTTCTTGAGAAGCCGCCAGTCGCTCAGCTAGTCAATAATTTCCTAATATTCTATGGAATCCGAAGGTTCATTACCATATTCACAAGAGCCCCCCACTGGTCCCTATCTTAAGGTAGATCAATCCAGTCCATAACACCCAACCCTATTTCTCAAAAATTGATTTTGATATTGTCTTCTCACCTACGTCTAAGTCTTCCTAGTGGCCTCTTCTGGCCTTCCCACCAAACATCTACATGCATCACTCTTCTTTTTATGCATACTACATGCCTCGCCCATCTCGTACACTTTGACGTGATCATTCTGATTATATTTGTCGAGGAGTACAAGTTGTAAAGCTCCTTATCATGCCATTTTCTTCAACATCGTATTATTTCAATCTTTTCGGTCCGAACATTCTCCTCAGCACCCTGTTCTCAAACATCCTTACTACTGGAGACATAGTTTCATACCCATATAAAACTACAGGCAAACTTAGAGAATTTTATATTTTAATTTACGGTGCGCGTAATTACAGAACCAAATTTAACTAATCATCAAGACAGCTGAGAATGAAGTGAATTGTTACAGTTCGCTACGGAGAGCATAAATATTGTATAGCAATTTATATTTCAACTGCCACAGACATCTATAAAAAAAAACTCCGTCGCCTGTAGTCCGCAAGCGAACTATACCGACCGAGCGACTGTCGCTTGTCGACGAAGTTAGTGCCAACGTTTAGATGATAGAGGATGTCGCGTGGTCAGCGCAATGAATCCCCACGGCCGTTAATTTCGGTTTTATGGACCGGAGCCGCAATTTCCTTGAAATAGCTCCTCAGTTATCCTCACGAGGCTGGTGGACCCCGTTCCAGACCCATTACTCAGAAAATCTGATAGCGCCGGGAATCGAACCCGTGAACTCAGGGTCCGTAGCCAGGAACTCTGACCACTAGACCACAGAGGCGGTCCCAGACATCTATAACCGGCCTATAAACTACAATTCATTGACTTCAGAGCTGACGTTAACGACGACTTCAACGTGTTTATGTCATAAAGACACGAGGACTAGCAGGCATATCCAACTGCGTAAAAAATGTGAAATCAATTCGCAGAACATCATGACCTTGAAAATGGGAGCTTTCGTGCTCGTCGTTCCTATTGGTCCGGAACGAGCTCCATTTCCTCTCTTCTTCCCGTGTGTATAGTGATTACTTGCCTCAGCCTGCTTACATAACACAACCGACTGCCCTCCCTGCACAGCTGCCGTTGTACTTACTTGCAGCATAGCAACTCGAATCTGCAGCACAATGCCTGGACGTACAGAAGCCTCGTATATTTGTATATGTACGTAACGTAAAGGTAAAGTTATACCTGAGATACCAGGCCATGAAGATGTATAGAGGATTGGAGGTACAGCTCAACCATTCTTAACCTCGGCACTATGGAGGCAAGGAGTCCCTTCACGCCCCTGCCATGTTACCCCGAGAAAACCGACCCGGTACCCATTATCCGGTCTGGACGTTATGGAGAAGATAAAATTTCTTGCCCTTCACGGGAATACAACCTCGCCTCCTTGGCCTTTCAGGCCGCAGCTTAGTCACTTTACCGACTGAGCAATCCCGGCTCGTCTTAGCCTAATTCTCTACTTTGAAAAAATAAAAATAGGTTTATAAGATCACCTTGCTGTCTGTGTCTGTACGTGTATCCCCCATATCGTTACTTGGCAACGGCTCAGTAAACACGTTCCAGCGGCAACGAAGATCACCTTGCTGTCTGTGTCTGTACGTGTATCCCCCATATCGTTACTTGGCAACGGCTCAGTAAACACGTTCCAGCGGCAACGAAGATCACCTTGCTGTCTTTGTCTGTATGTGTATCTCCCATATCGTTGCTTGGCAACGGCTCGGTAAACACGTTCCCGCGGCAACGAATACATACACAAAGTCATACATGTTTTCCTGAGTTCCACTGGAAACCCCACCTTAATGAACATGCAGTTAACCTGATGTATGGAACTTACATAGTTCATGCAACATATGTCGCAGGCGAATGAAATTCGGAAACCGAGGGCTTCCTTACACATACACCCCACGACCTAAATTTCAAAGCTTTGTGATCATTATAACGAAATGTGTATGTTGTATAGCTGACAAGTATTGGGGCATCTCAAAATGGGCAGAGTCTTCCTCTGGGGCAAGAGGGAGCCTCAAGACAATTATGATTGAAACTTGAGACTTGAAATATGATAATAGGCCCAAAAAAAGGGGGATCGACACCAACATGTACACGCTGGCTGAGGGTCTGTCTCAAAGCCACATGGATTTTGACACATACTGCATATGTCAACCGTAAAGATGGAGGCAAGATGTCCCTCAGAAACGTCGCCATCAATCTACAGACCACATAGCATCATAGCAAACAAGGTCATATTCTGAAAAAGATACAAATTGAAGTTTTCACTCCGGTACTGAGCTTATAGAACTAAAGTGGGTACATTTAATATCGACGAAAGGTGATATTTTTAAGAAACTTCGGTCATTTTACTTCATAAAAGTCTTACTTATCCTAAGAACAAAATTTACAACTCATGCTTCATCCTTGTACGATTCGAATAACTCAAACAATAACAATTAACTATATCCGATGTTTCCAAGTTTTTTCTCCCCTTCAAAACAAATGACAAAAACGTGGACAATATTTCACTCGTGAGAACTGCGCGTGAGTTACATAACATTCTCATAACTGTGAAGGACTACATTACTTTTTGTCACAAGTACAGAGTGGAACGAAGGTCCCAACTTCGGCTTGCAAATATCTTTGAAGTACATCAGTAGAGACTCGCGTAATTCCCAAGAACAGCAATTACCGTAATCGTGATTAAACAATTTACATCTTGTTAAATTCCGAGTTGGCAGCGATAAAGACGTACTGTTCTGCCCCCATAAAGAACAGAACAATACATTCTGCCATTGTAGTGTGACTTAAGCCTTTCGCTATATAAAATTATCATATTTCTTTATTGCTTTCTCCGTCTCTACACAACAACTACCGAAATCTCATTCACATTTACTGTGTATAATGAGCTTATTGATCTTAATGGTATGGCATACAACAGGATTCACTCCTTGAAGATTAAGATTATCAAGGCTATACGAACATGAATTAGAAACAGAGACAAATCTTTAACATATATTATTAAAGCGATCAGTGCAAAGAGAACAAAAGGGACGGGACATGAGCTATCCATGAGACAGAGGACGAAGGGGCCGCTTGAAGACCGAGGGGTATTCATTTCATCCATTCATCAGTAATCTGTCAAGACGACAGGTTCACAGTCTCTTCCAAAACAGTTCCTCCACTTAATGCGATCTAGAGCTTTCTCCTTCAAATAAAAGTATCCTCTTCTGTCCCCAAAGGTCATCCAGCATCTTCTTACATCTTCTTCCTCGTCTTCTGGTCACTTCTATCAGCCCCTCCGGTTTGTTTTGTCTCCAGAGGAAACATCTCGCATATACGGTATCTCTGTTT